TTTTTTTTCTCTTTTGTTTTCTTTTTCTTTTGAAGTTGTTCTTGTGACTATTTTCTTTTGAATAAGGTACTGTATAATGTCACAAAATGTTCCAAATAAATAGAATAAAAATTCGCAAAATTACTATTCTTGTTTTGGATTAGGCCTTTGTTTCAACTTTTTGCAGCTCAAAGGTATGATTCAAGCTTTGTTTTAATTAGACCTCAAGAGTTTCAAAAAGTTTCCCCGAGTTTAGAATCAAATTAGATGGAAGAAAATCAAAGAAACAACAAAATATTGAAAATTACAAGACATATGGAATTCTAATTTTTCTAGGAACATGTTAATGATCTAATAACATGAATGAACTCAAATATTATAATCACAAAAAGCATATAAATTGTTCGGCCAGCACACTATATATCATATATTTTCAAGATTTGAAAAGACAAAGGTATTGTAAGAAGTGTTGACATACAAGGACTACACATGACAACTAGTACATAACATATTGCATAGATCTCAAACCAAAAATGGCTCAATCATCATATACAAATGCAGATCATATTCAGGTCCTAATAAACATCATATTAGACACAAAAATTCAAAGGAAAGCTCATAGAACAAGAATCCTAAGGCTTAACATGAAGATTTGGTTCATATATAGAAACTAGGCTATCTTTTGAACGAAAATTTTCAAGACATAGTAGATCCTTCATATATTGTGCAAAACATTTAGATTGATACAACATACATTACTCTAGAAATGTAAGTAGACAAGGACAACACATATAGGCTTAGAAAGCACCTCCAAGGAAGAACCTAGACTTTTGATACCAAAGATTATGAAACTAGTTGGAGGAAGATTGATGCTTCACTCCAAATAATTCGTAAGTTGCTCCCAATCTTCTCTAGTCGATTCCTCAAGCTTTAAATGTACTAAAAATGGTGGATTAAGAGAGAAAATGATGCACCACTTCCTTGTAGGAAGATAAGCAGGAAGGAGGTCCTTGCCATAAGGAGGATTCCTTGATAAAAAGAACTTAAGGAGAAATTTCTCCAATAGAGAGAACTAAGACTAAGGAAATGTGAATCTCACTCGTATAAAACTCAAAGTGACCGAATATTTCTAGGGAGGATGTATTTATAAGGGTTGGTAGCTTGTGGTGCAAGCTAACCTAACCTAGGTTAGGTTAACTCACCCATGTTACTAACCCTAACCCTAACTAGAGTGGTTTGACTAACCCAAGCTCTAATGTCACTTTTTTTTATATCTAAAATAGCCAATGAGAACTGACCACATGGATAAGTAAGAATGATGTGACTCATTTCACCATCATAGATTTATAAGAGCCATTAGGAGTTTGTCATGTGGCATACATGTGTTTGGTGTGACTAAGCAAGGTCATGTGGCTTGTTGGCTTACTTGGGTGGATAAGGGGACATGTAGTTCCCATATGTCTTGGACATCTAAACCACCTACACAAGGCAAGTGGACGTCAAAGCCATGGTGAAAAAGGCCAAATATAGTCCCATCCAAGCCTAACAACATTCATTTGTCTTTTTCTAGCAGTTACACCTCTCCTAAAATAAGGACCAATGTACAAGGACAAAAATCCCTATACTATAAGACTAATGTACAAGTTCAAAATAAGGAAAATATTTACAAGACAAAATATATGCAAATAAGAGAAATCAAACTACTCCGAGGAAACCAAGACTCAATTAAGAGTTTGGGTCTTCCTCTTCAAGTCTAACTCACTCTTCTTGATTCCTTTAAGACATAGCCCTTAGGCATGATGTTATCACCATTGAAACATTATGTTGATTCACAAAAACCACTATTATCTTTTTCGCTCTCGTTGTTTGGGTAAGGAAAAGGTCTACCTACCATTTTATATTGAGATCAATATGCCAAACATAACATAACACACACACACAACATGTATATACAAATTATATACCTACAATAGAAGTACAACATGACAACCCCTATAAAGTGATGTTCAAATGACACGACCAGATCTGATACCATAAAATATAATGATTGAACATGTCATACATTGGTACAATCATAACAAAACACAACAAATAAATCTTCTATCCTAGATTTTCCATGCAAAACATATCTTGGCCAACATCCATATACAACATGTACCTACTTAGGATCTCAATGGTCAATCAAACAAACACAAAGCAATTCTGTTGTCATCAATAGAAGAAAATCCCTTTATAAGGTTACAACATCTTAGAATATACAACTATATATACATTTATAATATCCTAGAATATACGACTATATGTAAAATAAAAGCCTATATCAATCTATACAATTAACAAATGGCCTATAGATCAACATATCAAGCTCTCAACCATCCATAAATAGTCTACAGTAGCTCTTGGCCACCTTCTCACGCTAATATTTGTTTTCTCCAATGTTAGAGACGATCATCACAGTCAACACACAAATAGTAGGTTAAGTTTGATAACAAGCAAAGAACAAATATATGGAAATGCATAACAATATTAATATAATCATCCATACACACCACATTGAGCATGAAACCAGATCTCAACATCATTTCATCACTAGAGAGATAACAAGCACAACCATAATGTAACAACGAATGAAATGCATACACATCATCACGTGCCTACTTGTGACATGGGTTGTCATGCACTATCAATTTATTTATCTACCACAATAAATGGTTTAGTTAAGTCAACCCTAACAAACCTTAACAACCTTAGTCACTTAGATATTGTCAACTTAAGTCCAAAGGGTTTTGTATCACTATCAGGTATTGTCAACCCTACAAAACCTTAGCACTAGTGCCCGCCAAATGACCACAAGAGACTTATGTGCCAACTTAACATCTAGGTTTCAATAAACATAACATGACCATTTATGAAAAGTATGTAGTGGCTCACTCCATACTATTTTCAGAACATATTTAAAGAAGAACCATTTCCTTTAAACATATCAATAACTTGTACAGTGAAGCTCTAGGATTCCAAAAAACCCAATCATCTAGTTTCTCCGATGAATAACTCAACAAAACACTCCTCTAGGGATCCATAGCATTCCCTTTAAAACCATTTTGAAATCATTTTCAAACCCATAGTGAAGTAGTAGCGCTAACAATGTTGAAGAAAGAGTAAATGGAACACAAGGTATTTTTATATTGATTTGTTTTAAGTACCAAGACTACGTCTAATTCTCAATCCAACCAGATTGGGTTCTACTATCTTAAACAAGATATAAGTGTTTTTTTAACTAACCACTTTTAACTCAATCCTAAGTGTTCTTTGAATAGTCTCTTCAAACAATCTATACCCAAATATTCTTTTTACATAAAGTCTCTCCAAACTTTAATAATAAGTATTCTTTCATAAATAAATCTCTTCAAACTCAAATAACAAGTATTTTCTCACAGACAAACCCCTTCAGGCACAAATAATAAATATTTTTTTTACAAACAAGTTTCTCTAGATCCACATCCAATAATATATAAACTATTTTTCAAGTAAACTCTTATGCAAAAATATCTAAATATATAGTAAAAACAATAATAAATATAATTAGTTATATTAATACTCTTGAGGTTTCCATGATTCCTATGCCTTTTTAACATTTGTAACAACTACCCTTACAGAGTCCGAATCCTAATGTAATGATTTTTAAATTATTACAAGAGAAATAAATGTAATGTTTAAAGAATGTTGTTTGTACGTTAAACACTTAAGGAGTTAGTATAAGGGAAAAAAATGTGGGGAATATGTGCACAATTTCACAAAATCTGGAGGATCATCTATGCACTGTACCCCGTTAGTTCTCTTTAATAAGTAATAAAAACCATACATGTTTTGTTTTCAAATATGAATAAATATATATCAACTTCATTTAATGATAGTCTTCTTGATTGACTCTTTGATTGTATCACTTTTTTTTAAACATTTATAATAATAATAATTTTAATATATATATATATATATATATATATATAGTGTTTTAAAATGATACAATTATTTGTCTAATTAAGTTAACGCATATTATAATTTTTT